GCGCGGGGCCTCTCCCCGGCTCGGCCGAGCTGCCGCTGCCGCTGCCCCAGGCGGGGCGGCCCCAGGAACGCTGGCGGGGCCGTGCTGGGCCTGGGCCGGCAGCAGACACTTGGGACAGCCCCTCGGACCCGCGGTACCACGCGTAGACGCTGCCGACGTGGCTGAGCTGCGGGTCACCCCGCCCGGGGCAGAGGGGGTGTTTCTGCAGGGTGGAGGGGGGTTGTTTCCACCCTTTCGTTGATGGTTGTCCATGTCCCTCCAAGCGCAGCTGTCCGGCGGGATGTTTTTAGTCCTCAGTGGCTTGGCATAATTGGCAGCGTAGGATTCGGGTGACTCGGTCTGCCTCGAACCTCAGTCGAGGTGACTCAAGTCGGTCCCGAGGCCGCACAGACTGTTGGGCACCTTTGGTGTAGCAATAACTTTCCCCTGTTCTTGTACAATTTGTCAGTTTTAATCCCCTCTGGTCTTTGATGCTGGTGGTCCAGCATGTCCTAGGTCTTCCTCTTCTTGGTCTGTCCACAGCCCCCTGCAGGATGGTGTTGTAAGTGTGCTGGAGCTTCTTGTTACATGCCCAAACCACTGCATCTTTCACCTTATGATTTGAAGTAAGGGTCATATTTGCCAACTTCTTGTCTGATTTGATTTTTCACAGATTCGGTAGTTGTGTGCAGTGTAGGGTATGCGTGAAGTCTCCTACAACACCGCATTTCAAAGGTCTCAATTCGATTTCCAGTGCCCTAGTGAGTATCCAGGTCTTAGAGCCATAGAAAGTTGTTGAAATGGCGACAGCATATAGTCGGTGGAGTTTTGTTTTTATTGTGATGTTGCTGCTAGCCTAGACTTTCTTCAGCTTTGGTACTTGTCCAATGGCGATGGTTATTTTTGTTTTTACTTCTTTTTCTGATGTAGCATCTTCTGTGATGGTTGCTCCAAGGTATTTAAAGTATGTTACTCTTTCCAGCTTCCCGCTTGGGCCAGAGAGTGAGCAGCGAGTGTTGCTCCCATCCCACCTCCCAAGCAGCAAGCGCAAGCCCCTGCATGTATGGGCATTGGCCCCGTGCCACCAGCACAAGCACGCAGCTGCCCGCTGCAAAGGACTGCCTGTGCCTTCTTCCCCTGCTGAAGGGCCAGGTGCCTTCCCCTCTGTCCCCACCCCCCCGATCCCCCTGCCCTGCTGCAGCCCTGTGCCCAGCAAGGGGAAACCTGTGCTTTTGCACGTTTTTCTGGGACTTGCTTGTGACCCTTTCAAATATTCTTGCAACCCACTTTTGGGTTGCGACCCACTGGTTGAGAAACACTGCTCTAAGGCATCTGACATGATTTGTTTCAGGCAAAGACGAGCATAGCAGGGTGCGGGGCCTGGGGCAAATCAGCCTGCGCAGGGCCCGAATGTGGCAGGGGTGGGGGAAGGACAGGGGGCTTGGCGAGCAGCTGGATGCGAAGCCGGCCCAGCTCCGTGGAGCCCACCAAAGCATGGGGCCCAGGGCAGTCGCCCTTATTTGCCCCACCCCAGGGATGGCCCAGGTTCCAGGTATAGGTTAAATAAGCGTAGTGAGAGAAGACAGCGTTGGTGTACTCCTACTGATGTTGGGAGTCACTGCAGGAAAATTGTTCCCGGGTGAAGTTAGTCTCGGAAATGGGCTTGTTCGTGTCAGATTTACAGCAAGGTCAGTTGTGCACCATGTCTCAGATGGGTGTCGCTCTCCAGTGGCAGGAAGAGAAGATATATTGGCTGTGTCCACATGAGTGTGGACGTTGGGTTCCCTGGGGAGAAGTAGCAGTGGGACACCTTGTGCTGCCACTAGTTGTCCCCCGGGAGTGCCTGTGCCATGTGCTCTCTGGTGTGTGGCAGGTTACCCCGCGTGGGGTAGTGGAGGCTCAGGCCAGCACTGGGCTGGTCCCAGCAGCATTACCTGGGGTCCTGGGGGGCTCCTGGGGCTGCAGCAGCGGCAATCCTCCACTCAGAGCCTGGCTGACAGCTGGAGTATGGCTTTGGCTGGCCAGGCTTTGATTTTGAGCAGCTCACGCTGTTCCTGTGTGTGCTGCTCCTTTTTTTTGTGCAGGTTTTTTTGACTCCTGGATATCCAGGGGTCAAAAATACCCCCACACTGCTACATTGCAGCACAGAAAACACCTGCATGTGCAGCATGCATCTGTGGTGCCAAATACTGCGCAGCTGCGCTGGTTTGGGTGTGGCTATTAGGGCTGTTCTTTGGGGTAAATTCAAGTCCACTCCAACAAACTCTGAGCTATGCTCCCTAGTTAGATATGTAAATCTTCAGGGGACAGTGAATAATCTTCTCTCTATACTTCAATTATATCTGGACCCCCAACTGAAGGCATGTATGTGCCTGCCTTTTGGGATCTGGTTACCTGAGAGACCCCCTCTCTCACTGTACTGTATTGCCACTCATGACATCAGCAGAGATGTTCATGCCTGAGTTTCAAGAAAGGAGGAAAATGACGGGCTCTTTTCTGTAACAGATTCTTGACATGGGAATATTGTTCCTTCATTAATACACATATTAGAATCAGAATTTGTTAAACTCTTGAGCATTCTACATGTTTCTCTCTCTTCCTTAACATTGGGTTGAAGGTACATTGAGAATCTCATGGTTTCTAATTTGGTGGTGATATTTTTGGTGAGACAAGATTCTATTGTTACTGTAGGATAGCTCATTAAAAGACCTATATACTAGCTTTCAGATTTTTCTGTATGTCTTTTAGCAACGTAAAGGGTTCAGACTTACAAATGTTTATGGAGAAATTCAACTAAAATAAGAAAATTCCATAACCTACTTCTGGTCCTTTGCAACATGGGTAAAGTTCTCCTCAGTGCATCTCAGAAAGGCCCAGTCTATAAAAGGATAAAATGGTAGCCTTCCAGATGCAAAACTCAGTGATTATTCACTGTTACAGAAAGTATGCTTTGCTAAGAGCATTAAACCAAATTCATCACTAAGAAAACTCTCACTGAATTCAGAAGAATTGTATCATGTGCAGAGAATTTGATGCAGTGTTCAATGTCTTGCATTACCCACATCTACAGAGAGAATAGACAAGATGATGTGCTTGTCTGTGTGGGATATCATGCATCTGAATATAACAAAAGCAACTGCACCACTTCTGAATTTCTTGTTGACTGACCCACTGAATGAATGAATAAAATTAAGAGCAGATTTTGAATGGTGGTCCTTTATTCCTGCTTCTTAAAATTGGCTATAGGAAGATAAACTATTTAAAAAGAATACACTAAATATTCTTTTTCTTTTCTTTTCAAGGCAAAAGCAACAACTATCAAGGAAGCTCTAGCCAGATGGGTAAGTATGAGAGTGTGTGTGGGAGTGTTTGTGGTGGCACAGATCTCAGTTGCAGATAGAGTGGCTTTGTGCAGTTCGGCAAGTTCACTACAATAACATTGAAACACCAGCCACCAAATAAGATTAAGGAAGTAACATTATTTTATGAATATGAAAATGTATTTGAACTCCTGAGCTCTCTTCTTGTTAAATTCGTCTGATCATCAAAGACCCATCCCGTTTTGGTGTCTTGTCTAACACTGCCAAATTGTATGTTGACGTAAGATCTGAAGCTGCAAGATTTGTGCTGCAGAATGTTTTCTAGTTTTTGACCTTTGTTTACACACCATTCACTCTTGATCATCTAATCAGAATTTGTCCCTAGCACAAAATAACCAAGTAGGAAATCCTGACCCTCAGTGGGGGTTTGCCATTAGATGCAGTGGAATTAGGAAATCATTCCAAGTGTGTATAAAGCCAAAATCCCCACAACAACTTTATTAAAAGCCAGTTCAGAACTAAATACTCTGAAGGTTAAAAATGATTCGTAGACATAATACTCGCAGGTGATTTTTCCCAGGCTAAGGGTCCGTTATATTGTCTGTGATGCAGTTCTTGTTTATCTTAACAGCAAGGTGGTGGTTGTTGTTGTTTTTTTTTTTTTTACCGTTCTTCAAGTACACTGTCAATACAGATCCTTGTTTTTGGGATGCCTTTATGGACTCAGAGCCTCCAAATTAAGTCTGGAAGCTACAGAAAGTTCTAATTTTTTTTTGGAGATCATCAGACAATAAGGTGGAATACTTCACTTGCCAGTGAGATCCCAAAGAGTTTTCCACTGATCTCAATGTGCTTTAGATCAGGATGTGTGTCATTCCCCCTTCCATTCTCCCTCCTCCACCCAACAACACACACTCCATCCCCACCCCCATCCCACTGCCTACATACTGGTACATTCAAATTCATATCTTTTGCTAGACCAGCTATTTACAGTGGTTTGCTTCTAGAGTATTCTGGGCTTGGTGTGGAGTGTGCAGGTTGAACCCAAGAGTACTGTAAATCTGTATGATCCTCAATTACAGGGGAGTAGATTCTTACTTCTTAGTTTCGGTATTGCTTAATGCTCTGTGTTTCTTTCAGTCTAAGGTTATGAAAACTTCACTCCTGGCATCACAGTGGGAGAAAAATGCAAAATCTTACAGAGTGTACTACTTCTAGGAATTTGAATTAAATAAGATTCTGACTCTTTCCACTCTGTGCCCTGACATGATTTTTTTTAAGTTGATCAGAGGTAACAGAAATGTATCAGAAGGTTTGATCAGTGTTAAGGAAGGAGCATTGAGGAGGCTTGGAGTTCAGGATGTTCCTTTTTAATTATCCTCTTCCCTACACCCCACCTATGTCTCTGAGGCATGCAGTGGAACTTGATCTGAAGTCTTGACTGCATTCCAACTTACTGTTTGTCCTGCATTAGAATTTACTTCTATTAATTGTACTTTAAAAGCAGATTGATTCAAATGTGAGTGATGTAACTGTTCTAACAGGAAGCTTTAATTTAATTGTTTTTTACCTGTGCTTCTTAGTTGTTTTCCTAAAGAGAAATTGATTCTCATTATTTGGTACAAGATGGTACTTCCTTTTACCTAGCAGAAGGCTGTACTAAAGCTATTCATATTTATTTAATTATTCTTTAAAATTAGAACGCCAAATAATTGTTCCATTTTTATAATATGGTAGAAAATGGTAAATGACACATCCCTAATTTTCTAGATGATTTTTTTTTTCCTCCAGATGATTTGTATAAAGCTAAATTCGGACTGAAATTAGAATTCAATTACAATGCACAAATGGCATTTTTAAATTGTTATTGGTTAGTTAACTAAAACAAACTTAAATATACTGAATACATAAAGGAAAAATATTTTTCATTTAGAACTGATTTTTATTAAGCAAAAAATGGTTATTTTAGTGAATTGAACTGATTGTTTCTCATCATCACCTGGTTCCTCTTAGTTCTAGCTCTAATAGCCATCCTCTTGTACCTCATTTTAATTTGGATAAGTTATGAAGAAGAAAACAAGGTTTCTTGTCTTTTTTATTTCCCAGTTGGTCTCTCAACTATGAATGAACTAATCATTGACCTGAACTAGCTGAATAAACTGAAATGAAGAAAACAATTCCTCTGTATCTGCACAAGAGGATACTGCTTTCAAAAGCTGGCTTAGTACTTAAATAAACTATGACTCCAAAGGGCCAGTGACTACTTACAGCTCATCATTTGACTTTCTTTAAAGCTGTGGAGTAAATGTGCTATATTACTAGGAGTGAGTATAAGTGTGCAGGGGGAAAATCAGGAAGGCCAAAGCATAAACTAAGATGGAGCTAGCAAGGCTTATAAAAGGCAACCCCTCTGCCTCTCAGCTGGGTACTGCTGCCTCCAGGTAAGACTGCCCTGCATGTCTGCTGCAGTCAGCCTGAAAAGGGCTGTGCCACATACACAGTCTTCCTGCATTAGGGCTCTCTGTTAACCCTAAAACAGATAGAGCTGGCTTGGGCTGTCCTGCCCCTTCCCCACCCTCTTCCCAGGAACAGAGGCACATGACTGGAACTGTGCTTCGTGCTGCTGTTTCTAGGAGGTACATGAGGAGAACCAAACCAGGAAGCATACTACATAGCAAGCCAGATCTGCCTGTTTTAGGGTTATCAGAGAACTGCAGTGCAGCAGGAGTGCATGCATGATGCAGCTGTGGGTGTGGGGCATTTCTACCTGGCTGCTGCCACAGCAGCCTCTGTGTCACGGCATCTCTGATGGGATCTCACAACACCCCAGTTGAGAATCACTTAGGCTACTCTCTCTGAAACCTCATGAAGGTCAGACAAGGTCCTAAAATTTTGGAAAAAGGCAAATGCAGTGCCCATCTTTAAGAAATAGAAGGAGGAAGGTCCAGGCAATTACAGACCAGCCTATTGAACCTCAGTACCCAGAAAAATTATGGAACATATGTGACAGACTGTGGTTTTGTTGCAATATTTCTGGGTTCGTTGTGTTGATAGTTTAATAATTTTTCGTGCCTCAGTTTCCCTGACTAGCTTGTACATGGTGAACAAAAGGGATTAATTTTATTTGGAAGCAGATCACTTGGCAGGATCAGCCTAAGTGATCTAGTAGTGAGTAGTATGCCATCAAACAATAAAGAGCTAACTTGCCTATATTGACATACCAGCTGGATTCTGGCTAAGCACCTGAAGAGACTCCCTGCTATTTTTTGGTGTCCAGAAGGTACTTGAGAGGAGAATTGTGCAAAGAGACTGGTCTTCAAAAACGGAGACATCCAAAGACGAGAAAGAAGCCTGAGAGCCCTGAGAGAGAATAGCTGGGGCTGTTTTTCCTGGCAGAGACTACCTGTGAGTTAGCCAGGGGTTTTCAGACCCAAGGACTCTGTCTGCTGTGTTCCTGTTAAATAATGGTTTTGTCTGAGATGAGCTGCCTGCTTTACTGCATGTGACTTTGGGTGCACCCTCTCCCCTTGAAGAGGTAAAAGCCCTCTCCAGGAGCTAAGCCAGAAGGTAGCTCTCTGAAGAGGCATGGATAACCAGTGTCTTGGGAGCCAAATTACTGAGTCTTGACTTACAGTGTGGAAGCTATACCTGGGCTGGCTACAGGGGGTACTTAAAGAGACAGTACAAGCTTGTTGAATCCAAGCATGTGCACCTCTGGGGAAATCTGTGACAGCTTGTCATCAAGGAATCTATTTCTTAACACTTAGAGAATAATAAGATGTTCAGGAACAGCCAATATAGAGCAAGTCATATCTCACCAGTCTGCTTTCCTCCTACAAGGTGACAGGCTTTGTAGATGAGGGAGAGCAGTGGATGTGATGTACCTTGACTCTGGTAAAGCTCTGGACACTTTCCCACAACGTTTTCATTAGTAAGCTAGATGGAAGTATTGTGAAGTGGATATGTGATTAGTTGGATCATTGTGCTCAAAACTGCAGTTATTCATGGCTCTCTGTCTAATTGGAAAGAAGTTTTAATCGGGGTTCCGTAGGTCTGCCCTAGGTCTGGTACTGTTTAAAAAATCTGCTATTATAATTTGGAAGATGTGATTCCGCTCAACATTTGTAGATGGAAAGTTATTAGGAAGGAAGATATTAGGAAGAACTTTCAAACTATGAGAATGGTTAAGCATTGTGGAATCCTAGTCCTTAGAACTTTTTAAGAACAGGTTATACAAACATTTGTCTGTAGACAGGGATGATCCTACACTGGACATCATCTGGGTTGGACCAGATGATCTCCAGAAGTCCCTTCTAGCCTGAATTTTTTTCTACTATTCTATAAACTGCTTGAAAATTATTTTCCATTTAAATTATTTCAATGGATTAAAGTAAGTTTAGACCTTAATGTAGGTTGTCATGATTTAATATTTAATTGTAAACAGAAAATAGAATTCACTGTCTCTTTACTGACCATTCCTTTCTTCCTTTTTTTTCCTTAGGAAGAAAAAAATAGTTTAAAGGCATCAGAGGCCAAGGAAGTGAAACTGTATGCCCAGGTTCCTCCTGTAGAGAAGATGGATGCATCTTTGTCCACACTTGTTAATTGCGAGTATGCTCTGTTTAAAAAAGCAATCCTAGAAATACTAATTTTTTATCGTTATTTCTAGCAGGGTTTGCTGCCCTGTTTTCCTTTTTCCTTACATTTCTGTGTAGTTTTCATCTTAGCACCACTCCTTCTTTTGAAGCTCTTCCATTCCGCTCATCCAAGCATCCTTCTACTTCTCAGCTTTATACTATCACTGCTGTTTACCTGGGAAGAGAGGAAACATAATTCTTATGAATATTTATACATATGAATACCAGTCCACAGACTGGCTAATAGATGGTATTCAGGTGTATCATTTTTATTCTGTATCTGCAGTCCACTTGCAGTGAACCTTGAGAACCTTTCAGTAGTCCCGTAGACTTGTAGCTGCCACAAAGGCTGTTGCTAATGTCTTTTTTTGAGATTGTTAACCAAAGTCTGCAGTGCCAAAATCAAGCTATTCGGGTGTTTCTTGTGAGCTTCTGTTCAGTAGTAAAAAAATCCTTGAGGTTCTTGCATGCTAATTGTACTAAAATGTATTTTCTGTATTAACTTCCTAACAACTGAATGACAGACGTACTGGGTGTGTTGATATGCCAAACCCTAGTGCCACACAGAGGTACCCAAACCAATTTGTTTAGAACTAGCTTGAGTCCAGAATCAGTGGCTAATTAACTAACACAGCTATGCTACTTCTAATAGCCAAGCCAGCTTTGGTATCTGTGCATGGCACTGCTTTGTGCCAGACAGACATACCATATTGTCTCAATTATAAGTTGACCCTGCATCTAATCCAGACCTACATTTTCAGATTCAGTTTTTAGGAAAAACAACTTTTTCTCTGAATACAAGTCAATAACTACAGATAAAAATCTTGAACTGCTGCTGCCCTTACAAATTCCTACAAGCAAATCAAATAACTCTGAAAAGGACTAAAAGCAAGAAACATACTAAAATAAACTGCACTGAAAAAAAATTCTGACATAGTATTTTTATTGTATGGACACAAATACTGCTAGTACAAAAGTCAACACTTTCTTAAACCTAATTATAGGTCAACTCTATATAAATCAGATGTAATTTTATTATTTTTTTTATGCTTGGGGTGTTAGATTTCTAGGCAGAACAATATGATATATTCTGAGTTCTTGGTCCTCTACAGTAATAGGAGTTTTGATGTCCGAGTATAGGCTATTCATGACAATTCATTGGGCTCCTGTTTAGGACATTGCTTTCAATTAAAGGATATGCAAAGAGAACATGGTCAAGTTAACTTTTGTATGATTAGGAAGGAAGAAGAAAAATGAAGTTGAATTACAGCTTCACAAAGAAAAGTTTGGGGAACACTTAACTTGCCTTTGAACTGGACCTAAGAAAGAGGATCCTAGGTATATGGAATACAATTGGTAGGAAGATCCCAAAAGTATAAATAAATCTTAGAAGGAGGGTTAATATGAGGATAGGAAAAGGGCTTTATAGGTACAAAGTCAGTTTGTTACATAATCAGAGAAAAGTAAAATAAGATTTTATTCTAAGAAAGTCTTATTTTTAAGAATTTTTTTTGATCTGGTGATTCTTATCATTCTGTTAACATAAGTTGTTAATTACTCTTATTTTTAAAGGAAATTGTCTTTGTCTACAAACTGCATTGAAAAAATCGCCAACTTGAACGGCCTAAGTAAGTGATATATCAGTGACTGCTTTTTTCCCTAGTTGTTTGGACTACTCGTATTCCATAACATGACATATCCAACCTTTGACGTTGTCTTGATTATCATCTCTAGTTTCTGTCCCCAAAAATTAAAGGTGATCATTAAAAATTGCAGCAATATTATCATCAAAGGTGGCTCTTGGAATAACCTGTGCCCATGCAGAAGGTCAAAAGTGTTTTTCCTGTACAAGTGTCAAGATATATTGCCACATGTATGACCTCACTGAATTTAGATCTTCAATATCTAGACAAGTCTAAAGAGAGAGAGCTGATTTCCACATCAGTTTTGGAGAGAGTGTATAGTACAGTACTTCTGTATTTACAGTATTGCCTGCTGTAGAACCTAAAGTAAACCAGAGCTGGTTGAAGAAAGGTAATTCCATTTTGCAGAAGATCTGGGTATTTAGAAATCTGGCTTTGTTCTGATTTGGAATGAAAATAAAACATTTTGAAATTCATAAAAGGGAATAGTCTTAGATCTGAGCAAGACCATCTGGTCTTGCAGATTTACCCCTGACCTGTGGACCTGGGGAGTCCCAGAGTCCAAGGCTTAGGCAGTTGGCCTGATAGACTACCCTGGAGCTATGAATCTTGGGAAGCCAAGCTCTTCAGAAGCTGTGGGAGCTGAGCTTTCAGGGCTTCCAGGCTTTTGGCAGCCTGCCAGCCCATTAAGAAGCTGCATGAAGGAATCTGGCCCATGGACTCAACAGTATATTTTCTTTATTTTCCTCCAAAAACAATTGTGATGCATAACTATACCCCCTGGAAAAACAAGTCTGTTAAATAACTATAAACTCTATATCAACAATGTGCAAAGAAGATATTTTGGGTCACATCAAGAAACACCATATTTCACGGTGTATAGGTCGACACAGTGTATAAGTCAACCCCCGGCTTTCTGATTTGAAAGGTAAGGATTTTCCTAGGCACAGTGTGTAAATCAGGGCTGGGCTCAGCACTCAGCAGGCATGGCCCCGTCCCTGCAAGCGGCACTGCCAGTGCTGCTCACAAGGGATGGGGTCATGCCAGCTGAGCACCAAGCTTGTCCCTATCCCTGTTTCCATCCTCATCTCTTGCAAGCGGCTCATCCCCAGCCGAGCGCCAAGCCTGGTCCTGTCCCCCCATCCCCTGTGAGTGGTGCCAAGCTCGGTGCTACTCACAGGTGATGGGGACGGGGTTGGGCTCAGCACTTGGGTGGGATGGCCCCATCACCTGTGAGTGGCGCTGGCTGGGCCACACCAGTGCCGCTCATATGGGCTGGGGTGCACCAGCTGAGCCTGTCCCCGTCCCTGTCCCCTGCAAGCAGCACCAGGCTCACAGGGAATGGGGCTGTGCCACCTGCGTGCAAACCTGGTCCTGTCTTCTGTGAGTGGTGCTGCTGAATGCCAAGCCCAGCGCTGCTCACAGGGGACAGGGACAGGGCTGGACTCAGCGCTTAGCTAGCGCTGCCTTATACCCTGCAAGCAACATCACCGGGCTTGGTGCTTGGCTGGTGCGGCCCCATCACCTGCAAGCAGTGCTGCTGTAGCCCAGGCAGCATGTTCACGGGGGATGGGGCCATGCCAGCCAAGCTCCGAGCCCAGCCATGCCAAGCCCTGTGCACAATTTCTTTCTTTTTTTTTTTTTTTTTTTTTTTTTTTTTTTTTTGATGCAGCAGTGTATAAATTGACTTTGATTTTTAATACCCAAAAAATGGGCTTCAAAACCCAACTCGTACATTACTCATGAAATACGGTAACTGTGTGGTTTACTTACTGTCAGAGTTAGGTTAAGGAGATCTTGCTTCTTCCAAAGTGTAGAATTACTCGGGGTATTTAAAGAGTGTAGGAGTTGGTTGTGAATCTTGGAAAACTCGCTTCCAAGAGAGGTCAACATCCTGAACAGGCTGTAGCAAGAAAAAAAGACACTACACTTGATCTGAGTACATACCACATTTACTCAATTTCCCCCAATCAGCATAGGGGAAAAAAGCCCCTCATATCTGCATATGAAGTAAAGAGTGGACCAAGGGAGCAGGAAGTATTTCTCAGAATATTTAAAGAGTGATGTATTCCCCAATTGAAAATCACACCATTTTACCAATTTTTACAATTTGTTAAGCACAAGTCAATAGATAAATGTTAAACGTATTATTTGACAAGTTGGATTTGTTACTAAAGTTAAAAAATAGTTGGTAGGTGTTTTAAAAAGACCAACGATGAGTACTTTTGAAAATCCCACCCATAATTTCTAATCACAGGGTGCATCTACACATGCTATTATTGTGCAGCAATAAACTCTGGTTTATTTCACCAGAATTTATTGCTCTAGGGTGCTGCATTTAAACATATGCTTGGGACTGCAACCTGTTGAGCCAGGTCGGAGCAACTCCAGCTGGCAGGGGACCCGGCGTGAAGGGGGGTCAGCCTGCCAGCCTGGAGCTATTCTGGCTTGGTTCAATGTGGTGTGGAGGGGCTGACTGGGTCACGAGGGTGCTCCAGTGTGGGACTAGCTGGCAGGCATCCCCTGTACTGAAGCACCCTCATGCCCCAACCGTGTTGGAATCTACGTGTTCATTGCTGTGGAGTAAAATACTCCACTGTACTTGTATTTACAAGTACTAACCTACTGCAGAGTTAATTAGTTTACTCCTTCCTAATAGCTCTGCATGTGTAGACACTGAGACATTTACTATGGAGCTAATTAGGCAACTGCAGTAAATGTCTCATGTAGATGCACCCACAGATCCAGAAAGTATGAGGATAATTTAGCTAGATCATGAGGTACTTTTTATGCCATGGGGGACTTGGAATATTCAGGGTA